TTATAAGAAAGTAAATTTTAGTTAAATTTGAAAAAAAAAAAGTTAAAATAACTGCCTTTAAAATTATATGGTTACAGAAAATTGCTATTTTACTTGCGAAAATTAATAAAGCAAAAATGACTGGGTGTGAAATAGTAAAGCAACGAAACGAACCTGGTACTTGCAAGCGTCAAAACAACATTGATTTTTTATAGGGAGCGGTATTCTCAAAAAATAAAAAATGTCACGAACAGGATAAAAACGTTTTTTATACCGTTGATTCTCTAATCTCAAGAAAACATATGCAAGGTATGATATATTCTGAAATCTCCGTTTGATAACGACGTTCAAATCGTTTCAGAAGTCTGGTCGATTCTCTTTATTGTAAACCATCCAGAGGTATGGGAATGGAATACTCGAAAGTCGGTACTACGAATCACCGGAATGCCCTGTAATCACCGAAATGCCCCAAGAAATCACCGGAATGCCACCGAAAAGCCCCTTATATTGTTAAGAATAAACGAAAAAATAATAAATATTGATAAAATTAACTGTTCTAAAGCCTAGATACCAAATAAAAATTTCATAATTTTAGCGTAAGTACTTTTATTTGAAGTGTACATGTCAGAATCAAAGAAAGATAACTCTCACTGATTAAAGACACCTGCCAAATAGTTTTATTTTTAATTTTCCCCATTTTCCATTTAAATATATTCCTGACAATAAGTTATTCTTTCGTGTAAAATTTTTGTTTGTAATTATATTGACGTATTTTCTTCATTTCTAAAAAAGAAGCCTATATTAACAATGTATAATATATTAAGTTACATGTATAATCAAATAGAAAAATTTTACGTTTAAACATATGATATAAACAAAATATATGCCATGTATGACTTTAATCAAAATATATTATTTATTCACTGAACTATAGGATTATATGCTTGATATAATCAGGGACTTATATAATTATGTCCCTGATAAATTGTATAAATCACAAGGCGGTCCTACTAAACAGAGTACACTTGTACGATAGAGTACTTTAGAGTACGCTAGTAATATTTTATAATTTAATGCAATTAAACTACTTTTTATTTGTTTATCTTCTTTAGTTTAACATATTGAATATATATTTTTAAAAAAAATTGTAAGTTTTCTGTATTTTATATGGAATGCCATATACGACAGCCAACTGCTTACTGCCAACTGCTGACTGCTTACTGCCAACTGCCACACATATTTGAATAGATTTTATTTTTATATTGATATTTATGTAAATTATTTTTAAAATGGCGCGGATCTATAGGGCATTTTTTCCAAGAGGGTCACTCTGGTAAAAAAAAATCCAACCCATAAATTTCTTGACAAGGAAAAAAAACGTAAAGTCCATTTCCTAAATGTGACTTCAAGATTTATTTCGGCCGGGAAGAGGGGGTTCTTATGCGTCATACCTTCATGTGTATGACATTTTTCATACCATCTTAACACGAATCCACATTTTCGGTTGGGGAGGGGGGGGGGGTCTAAGGTCTCTTTTAGTTGATTTATTTTATACATTAAATAACTTTTACTTGGTTTAGTTTGTGCATTAAATAACTTTACAAATTTCAGAGGGGTGTTCCGGACCCCTCTCTCTACATCTATGCATGTAAAACATATTTCATTTGTACAAACAAAGAGATATAAATGTTTGATCGGCGTTTTCTAAGTGGAGGGTCCAAGGTCAGTTATACCGGTAGTTCGTTTAGTTTATTTAACGTATGACTGTACAAATTTTAAATGCCCCCCCCCCCCACCCCCCGATCTATGCATGTGAAACATTATAACACACAGAGATATACACATGCAATTAATTTAATATTTGATAAAATTTAGATGTAAGTCTTTAGTGAGAAAGTCTAGAACAATATAGTAATCAAGATTTGGGTATTAGCTATAGGTATACGTAGGCCTTTCAACTGCCGCAAGGGGTCGGTGTTATGAACGATAACTCACTGCTGAAACTTGTTTAGAGCAGGCTCGGGGTATCTAACTGTTTACACGCAAGGCAGTTTTTAGCATTTCCCAAGTATTTCTTTGCTCTCAGTAGAATCCAGTGGTTTTAAAATTTAGCACCATTGTTAAACTTATTTACTGTATAGTTGCAGACACCGGTTTACTGCATTTGATTAAAATTTTTAATTAAAATAAAAAGTGAAATCTACCCTCCTTCTCAGTTCTAACCTAATTAAATTTTTATACTCGGTCGTTCCCCTTCGTGCTTAGTAACACAAGTAAGATGATCAATTGTTGCATTTACTTGTAAAAATGTATATATTTACACAGGAAGCGAAAAAGCGCGAACACAAAAAACATGACATTAAATTTTCTTCTTCATAATGATCTTCAAAGAGAGTTAAAACTATTGAATATAGTCTGTTCCCCATTCATTTGACCCTGTTATTTCAGGTAGAGTGAAGGCATTCTCTTTCTCTTGGTCAAAACTTTTTGTGTACAAAACAATGTAAGGAACCCTTTTGTGTATATAACAATACCAATGCTGAAGCAGCCTATATGTCATTCCTATAAACGATAACTCATAAATCGGCACTAAGTTGGTCATTTTTCACACCTGAGTTACCTGTCCTTAAACACAACATCGGAAAAGTCAATTATAAATGATTAAACTTTTTAATTATGTAATTAAAAGTATGCATAAGTTAATATCTTTTTTGATAATTTCATGTACCTATAAATCTATCTATACAATGTTTTTTACCATATGTGCAACTTGAAAAATTAGTTGAAAGGCCTAGTATACGTAATCTTTAATGCGTTTAATTTTGGATGTTATTTCTTGTCAAAATATCGCTAAAAAACAAATATTTGAAACCAATATTGGAAAATAAGTTTATAATAATGTTTCATCAAGTTGTACATACATAAATAAACAACATAATTGCTTTAAAAATAACATAATTTTTCTAGCGTACTCTAAAGTACTCTAGCGTACTCATCACAAGGATCGAAGGAAATGGTACATAGTGTATTATAAATATAACATGTATGAATTAAAGTTTTGCTCCATCCAATTCGTATATGACATTGAATTATGTTCACAGTATTTCTGGGGATATTATTCATTATACACTTTTTCATTTCAGCACAGAAAAGAACTACAATATTTAAAGAAAGTTAACAAAATCTATAAAAATTAATAGATTTATTTCATTTTTTGTGTATATTTGATGACAAACTTTTTTGAAAGTTTCATATTTTACTATGAATGATAAAAAGAATAGAGACAAAATAAATTTGATTTTATTGTGTTAAATGTTCAATTGGTTTGAAACAATTGGATATCTGAAATAATGTTTACTGTGTATACACAGTGATTAAATAATTGATCTCGTGACAGGTGTGTAGTACTCTTATGTCATGTTACATATTAAGGTACATGACAATCAGTGACCGAAATTACGCACATGCGCTATACAAACACAGGAAAGGGTATCTTTTGCTAATGAACAGTTCACTACATCTGATCCAATTGAAAATGAAATAGTAAAGTTGACAATTTATCTTAATTTTTTTTTTTTTTTTTAAAGTTGTTGAATGGGTTGAATACACACATTACATGATTTATCAAGCACTTGCTACTTCCGAAATATTTGCCACAATACAAGAGAAACTTTCCGTACTGACAATGTATCTAATCAATCATTGAAAACAATGAGAACATTTTCATGGCTTAACGTAGAACAAAGTTTAAAAACGTATTTTTTCCCCTTTTTATGACTGCTTTTGTCTTTTGAAAATCTTTCATATCGATCGTAAATTATCACAGGAATTGATCTACCGGTGCCTTCTCTCTCTCTCTCTCTCTCTCTCTCATTAACTTTATAGTCCGTAAAAGCAGATATATTTAATAAAAGATAAATTTACTCGATAAATAATGACAGGTATTTAGATTTTACCACCAGACCTATTTCCCCAGACTGGCGTCCGTCGGCAGGCGTATAAATGGTCCAACCTGGTTCACAAAAAGTCAATTAAAAGGAAGAAAGAAAAAAAAAAGAAAAAGACATAAACATTTAATAAAAAAAAAAAAAACAAATCACAATTCCCCAAAACTTCAACTTAAAAAAGAAAACAGTGTACGTATGATGTATGTAACTGTAATAATAGCATGTGCACTTGACTATAAATATTAATACAAGGAACCTATACTAACCATATTTTTTACATTAAATTATTAATTAAAGGTCATGAAACAATCAGTTGTCATCATTTTTTTCTGAGAAATATTATTATTATAATTATTATTTTTTTAGGCTACGTAGATATTACTTCTTAGAAGATCGTCATCAAATACGAGTTATCGCCCTTTGAACTTACGATTCGCTTCGAGCACAAAACCTGAAAAAAAATCATTTTACCGTCAGTTACGCTTTAATGAAAAAAAAATAAGAATTAATTTTTATGAAAAACATCATGTAAAAACATATGTATGGTCATTTCGGTGATTTTGTTGGGCATTTCGGTGATTTGTAAGGGCATTTCGGTGATTACGGGGCATTCCGGTGATTCGTGTTACCCCTCGAAAGTCTCTGGCTTTATCATACATATTTAACCTCATTGCTCAACCAGAAGTACATGTTGCTTACAAAATGTCTTACTTTATGTCGAGGTGATTTTTTAGGAATACATGAGTGGTTTACAATAAAGAGAATTGACCATAGACTTCTGAAACGATTTAATTGTCCAGGAAAAAGTCTCTCGAAGCGAACAATACCAATTTAAACAATATAGATATATCTAATAGGTTAATGATTGATATATTTGAAAAATACGAAATTGAAATCACTATGGGGGTTCCTGAAATTGAGTTTGGTACCTTGTGGTAAAAATGAGAAGGGGTGCCCGGTATACGAAACAAGTGCCTGTGTCAAGACGAAGAGAGAGAGAGAGAAAGTAAAAATAATATCCATATGAATTGTTTTTGACAGAGGATTATCGATAGAATATGTATGAATGAGGTAATGGTGAAGAGAATTCCTTATGGAGATGCTACCATAGGTCAGACTCAGAGGTTATGACACGGCCCGTTATGACAAGATAACAGCAAGCAAAGGTCAGAGGTTATGACAAGATAACAGCGACCAAAGGTCAGAGGTTATGACAAGATTACAGCGACCAAAGGTCAGAGGTTATGACAAGATTACAGCTGATTAATATCGTGGATCATCAAAGATTGTAATCTATAGCCATGGCAACCCACATCAATAAAGTAAGTATTCAGCATACAAAAAATACTACTGATCATGCTGATGTGATTATGTTGATTTTAATTTTTAGAACGTTGTATCAGATATTGTTTTCTTATTTGTGATTGTGTTGTTTTTTTAGAACATGATGCCTTGTCTTTAAAATTACGTTATTCTCTGGGTTTTAGAACACAGGGTCAGACATTGATGCCTTGTCTTTATAAAAACGTTATTTTGTTGGTTGTAGAGTGTAGAATCAGATATTGATGTCTTACATGTGATTGTCTTGGTTGTAGAACACAGGATCAGACATTGATTCCTCGTTTTCTTCCTCCTTCTGTACGGAGCTGGATGAACAGATGCTGGTAGCCATGGAGACACTAGAGAGGCCTCAAAGGTCACAGAAAGGTCAGCATAAGGGTTGATTATGGATTTACATATTGATTACAGAAGTTATGAATATTTAATATTGAAATGAAATTAATAACTAAAGTAAAACTTGACTAATCCAAATATTGTATAACCTGAAAACTTGCCTAATACCATGTTAACTTTAAGTCCATTTCACTGAATTCATTTGTTTAAAATGTTGTCTAATCCAACATGTCTAAGATATTATCTCAATCGACCAGTGGCGCCTGTATTAACAAGTTATACTGCATTTAAATGGGCAGGGATTTTCCACTTCATTTTGGGAATGGGGTCCTGTCCCTTGGGATTTGGAATTTAAAGGCTGGGGTTTTCAACCGGTCGGTTTTCCTCAGGTAAGTTTGGTGTGGGGTGGAGCTAAATCGAAGCGGCTGAGAAGCCTCGAGAGAACAACACTGGCTTGTGTATAGATAGTTCCTATACATACAGGATTTTACCTGAGTGTATTACCTGTATGCATTTTCCTACGACATTGCAAAACGAAGCCGTTTTTTCATGTACCTCATGAATTTAAATGCATGAAATAAAGCATGTTAACTTTATGTTGCAAATTCTTTCTTTTAAAATCAATATTTTTAAATAATTCAACAATTTTAATATCCTGTGTGTTTCTTAATAATCAAATGTTATATAACAAAAATACATTTAGCATGAAAATCTGTTTGTCATCTGGCGACAAAAAGGGAAGTAATTGAAATTACATGTCGTATACGCTAAAGGAAAAAAGAAAGTGGATCATAAGTAAGTTTTTTTTTTTGGTTAATGAAAATTAAACTTATAGCCAGGGGGTTCGGACCGGGGATAATTCCCCGATAGCTATGGGTGAATAGGGAATGGAATCATCTACATTGTGCTTTTTTCTATTGAGATTCATAATTTCAAAAATTAAATAAAAGCAAAATGTTATAATCAGAGTAATTTCTCTTCTAAAACTGGTTATTATACCGTAACTTCGTCACCATAATGCATGTCTTGAAGAAAAGCGACACGTACTGGTCTGTATTGTTTTGTTTTGAACATATTTTATTGACAACATGTAATGAGATTGGACACAAGTTCCAAAAACTTAGATACATGTAGTCCTCTCCCGTACATAAAATATCAAAAGCCATACAAAATCATCAGGTTTTGTTTTAAAATATAAATTTTTCACTTGACTCTTGAAAAAAATATTATTTTAATTCCATGATACTAGCTTCAAACGCAGGTCAGTTATTTTGTTAATTATGGAGTAATAAATGTAGTATGTTAACTCATATTTTGACACCAAAATTAGAATTATCCATTGAAGTTGGGAAATTAAATTCCTCTTTTAAAATTAAAATTGTAATATATAGGCATGATTTTTTAATCATTTATTTAATTAATTGATAGATTTATTACTGTAGAGGTACTTTATCCTGGTGGTATAAATTTATGCTATGTACGCGGTCACAAATTTTCCGCAGATTTGTCCAAGCATACGTGATATCAATGTAAAGCTTATAGTGACAGTCTAGGAAATCTACATAAATTTCTACTTGCAGATTAAACAGAAATTGAGATTCTGCGGAATTATGACTCAGTGGAAAAAAGTACGTCTACATTCTACAATATATTTATGGAATATTCTTATGAATTAAAAAAGAACGCTTTGATTGCTTCTTTATCACGTTGGCATATGCGGTAGGAATAAAACCCCTGTATGTTATTTCAAAGGTCGGTGCAATTTTCATACAAGGTACACAAGATATACACAATGACAGCAAACTAAATGTCAATCAAATCAAAGTATCCAATCCCAGGCTTAATTTCAGATGATTGACAAGGGCTCTTAGACCAGGTAAATTTGAAGGAGGTGCTTATTTCTTTTTTTTTTTTTTTTTTTTTAATTTTTTTTTTTATTTACAGAAACAACACATTACATATATGTTCAGAAGCAAACATTTAAATGTAGTTAATAACACACTCACATACAGACGTACACACACTTACATACAGAGTGAGACTCACACAATATTACATGTGGAAGGGGGGTGAAATAAATATCAGTCAGTATAACAACAGTATAAAACTCCAATGCTTAGTCATTAAATAAATATCAGTCAATATAACAATAGTATAAAACTCCAATGCTTAGTCATTACTTTGAAAAAGACATTTCCAATTAGACCATCTTTTTTCAAATTGTTCAACATCATATACTTTTTTTTCTATAACAAAATAATTACTCAAGTACAATAATAAATCATTAAATAAAATGGTACACTTTTTTCTTGATGTTTGAAAGATATATTTTTTTACTAATACAATAATAACATTCAAACCCACATCAATGTCTGCAGTACAGAGGATTACATTTTGTATATTAAATTGCAATGTTCTACCAGATTTTAAACAAATCCAATCTTCTAAGGATGACCAGATTATCTTGACAAAATCACATTCAAAAAATAAGTGTTTTAATGTCTCAGGTTCCTGTGAGCACAGTGCACACTTTTGATTATCAATAATTTTTGAAAAAAAAAACAAATATCTTTTCACACCAAGTATTCTATGTAAAATTCTATATTGAAACCAAAACAATGTTGTATCTTTTGTTAGATTTTTAAGATTAATATAAACTTGATTCCAATTAAAGTCATCTTGTAGTGATAAATCATTTGTCCATTTCTTTTCACACAAAGGTTTATGTTGTCCTTGGGACATAAACAAATCATATATTCTTCTAGAACCTTTTTTATCTTTACACAAAATTGTTATAAACTCAAGCTGGACTGGTCTTGTTACTAAAGAAGGATCCAGATTTTTTACTTCTGGCATTGCACATAAAATAGCATGCTTAAGACCTTCATATATGGTAAAGGGCATTTTTACATTAAAATAATCTTTTAATTTATCATAAGAAATAAAAGTACCCTGGCTAATGAGCAAGTCAGAAACTATATGGAATCCTTTTCTATATAAAGATTTATAAAAAACACTTTGGTTTTGTATTTTTATTTTTTCATTGTACCATAATGGTTCCAATAGTGTGTTATCCTGTATTGCAGATGTACAAATATTAATAAAATCTGTAAAATATGAGAGTGTTTCTCTCCAAAAAGGATTTGAAATTAACTTTACTCTTTGTCTAATGTATTCTGACCCAAACTGACACATCTGTGTGACATTACAACCAGTAATTTCTGTAAACAATACTGCCCACTGTGTTGCGTTAGTAGAAAGTATTCTCCGAAACCAAGTAAGTTTAAGAGATTTTATAAAAATTTCAACATTAGTCATTCTGCATCCACCTTTTTTAAACTCTGACTGTAATGTTTTTCGGCTAATCTTATCAGGTTTATTGCCCCAAATAAATTTAAAAAGTAATTTTTCTAATTTTTTAATCCACTGTACGCTTGGTGTAGGCAAAACACTGAACAAGTGAGTAAGTTTGGACAGTAAAACACTTTTAACAACTGTTATTTTGCCTAATGGGATAATATGTCTTTTAGACCACTGTGTTATTTCTTTTTGAATCCCAGCTAATTTGCTATCAAAGTTCAGTTGTTCCATTTCTTTAAGATTTGCAGTGTAAGTGATACCCAATATTGTAAATGGTTGATTAGTCCAACTTAGATCTGTATTATCACAGTGTTTCATTTGAACCAAGTTTTGAGCCAATCCAGATAGCTTTAGTTTTACTAATATTAGGCTTTAAACCGGAAAATTTTGAAAATTGAAAAAGGTCAAGTGCACTTTTTAGACTTTTTTCTGAGCCATCTAAGAACAGTACTGTATCATCCGCATATTGGAGTAAACAAACTTTTTCCTTTCCTATATTTATTCCTTTAATATTTTTGTTTTGTCTAATCATTATACCCATAATTTCAACACAGAGATTAAATAAATAAGGGGATACAGGATCTCCTTGGCGACAACCTCGTCCAATTAAAAAGAAATTAGAAAAAATACCATTTTGTAAAACGCACAGTCTAGCTTTGTTGTATAAAACTGATACCCATTTTATTATATCAGGGCCAAAATTAAACAACCTTTAGGGTCCTATACATAAATCGCCATGAAATTGAATCAAATGCCTTTTCGAAATCAATAAGTAATAAGATACCTGGGATCTGTTTTTCAAGAGTATTATGGATTGTATCATAAATAACTCGAGTATTTTCTCCTATAAATCTACCCTGAAGAAAGCCCTTTTGATTGTCATGAATTAAGAAGTCCAAGACCTTTTTTATTCTATTAGCAATACATGAGGAGGCAATTTTATATGATACATTTAGTAACGAAATAGGCCGCCAATTTTTAAGATACTCTCTTGGCTTATCCCCCTTAGGGAGAATAGAAATAATACCCTGCTTCTGGGTCAAAGATAATTCCCCTGATATAAATCCATAATTAAGAGATCTGACTACAAAAGTTCCCAAATCTTTCCAAAAAAATTTGAAGAATTCAACAGTAAACCCGTCACTTCCAGGACTTTTATTGTTTTTCATATTTTTAAGTGCTGTAAGGGCTTCCTCTTTCGATATCAAACCTTCAAGTTCTGTAGCGGTGTTTTTATCCAATACATTAATATGTTCAGTATTAATAATGCTTTCCAATTCCACATCGTGTAACTTATTGTCCACACATGAGTATAATGCCTTATAAAATCTTTCAATTTCGGATAGGATATCCGACTGTCCAGTGACAATACCATTATCTGTGAGAAGCTTATTTACAGTTTTATTTATATAATTTCTTTTCTCTAGACTAAGAAAATATTTAGTAGGTTTCTCTCCATATTCTATCCATTTAAGCTTGGTTCTAGCAAATAGTCCTTTAATATATTCTTTTCTAATTTCTTCGAGTTTGGTTTGTGCTTGTTTTAATTTTTCAAAAGTGTCTGGAGAATCACTACTATCATTAAGATCACTTTCTAGTTTAATTATTTCTTCCTCGAGAGATTTTCTTTTATTTTCTGTAAGCTTCTTTTTTCTAGATGATAAGGCAATTGT